TGGTTCTCCTCCTGCCTCTCGGACAGGTCGCAGTCGGTGTTATTTGGGGAGGAGAGGTCGACCCCTAGGCCCCAGAAATATGGGGTTCCTCAGGGTTCGGTGCTGTCCCCCCTGCTATTTAATATCTACATTAAGCCACTGGGTGAGATCATTCGACGGCATGGGATAAAACACCATCAATATGCGGACGATACACAGTTGTATCTGTCCGCCCCGTGCCAACTCAGTGAAGCGGTTGACATGATGTGCCAGTGCCTGGAGGCTGTTAGGGTCTGGATGGGGGTTAACAAGCTTGTACTCAATCCGGACAAGACGGAGTGGCTGTTGTGTTTTCCTCCCCAAAACTTGGTCAATATTCCATCACTCAGGCTGGGGGGTGAAAACCTACGCCCCTCAGACAGGGCTCGCAACTTGGGGGTCCTCCTGGATCCACAGCTGACTTTAGAACACCATTTGTCGGCTGTGACCAGGGGGGCATTTGCCCAGGTCCGCCTGGTGCACCAGTTGCATCCCTACCTGGACCGGGAGGCACTCGCAACAGTCACTCATGCCCTCGTGACCTCAAGACTGGACTACTGCAATGCGCTCTACATGGGGCAGCCCTTGAAGAGTATTCGGAGACTTCAACTCGTCTAGAACGCAGCCGCACGAGCGATCGTGGGTGCACCTCGGTACACCCACGTTATACCTATCCTCCGTGAGCTGCACTGGTTACCGATCAGTCTCCGGATACGCTTCAAGGTGCTAGTCGTCACTTATAAAGCCCTTCATGGTATTGGATCTGGGTACTTGAGAGACCGCCTGCTGCCAATTACCTCCCACAGACCCATTAGATCTCACAGGGTTGGCCTCCTCCGGGTGCCATCTACAAGCCAATGCCACCTGGCTATTACCAGGGGGAGGGCCTTCTCTGTGGCAGCTCCGGCCCTCTGAAATGAACTCCCCGCAGGGATTCGGACCCTCACCTCTCTCCAGGCCTTCCGAAAAGCCGTCAAAACCTGGCTTTGCCGGCAGGCCTGGGGGTGATGAGTTCCCTCCCCTCTCGACATGTATGGTTGTGCGACTGTTGTCTACTTTTATTATTTGTATTTTGTCTTTTATGTTCCCCCTTTTTTTCCCCTTTTGAATTGTTTGCTGCCCTGAGTCCTCCCGGAGAAGGGCGGCATACAAATAATAAAATACCATACTATACCAAGTGGAGTAAAATTCACTTAATAATTATCTTGCTTAGCAACACAGATTTTGGCCCTAATTGTCATCATAAATCAAGGAATACCTGTATTCATACCAAACAGACATGTTTTGGTTCAGATGGAAACCAAGTAGCTCTTTGGTGTATGGACCATTTTGTGTATCTGTAATTCTGAGTTATGATTTGGCTGCAGATATCCTTTAAAAAGGTTGTCTTTCGAGTGACCCTTTTTACACTAGCAGAAAGGAAAAAAGGATTCTAGTTTGCATACAATTTGCATATGCAACCCTATGGATAGAAATTTATGAATAAATTTATTATAATTTATAGAAAGACAATAGCAATATACTTATATAGACTTATATACCACTTTCAGCCCTTTCTAAACAGTTTGTAGAGTCAGCATATTGCCCCAAAAATCTTGGTCCTAATTTTACCAATCTGAGAAGGATGGAAGGCTGAGTCAATCTTGACTTGGTCAGGATCAGACTCCAGATTATGGGAACAGTTAGCCTGCAATACTGCATTCTAATCATTGTGCCACCACAACTCCAAGATGTATTACTATAGAAGACAAGTCTAACCAAACTACTAATATGCATGTTCAATCAACTATCCAGAGGCTAAGTGTCAATTGACACTTTGGTCACTGTCTCCCTCTGTCACACTTTTTAATTCTGAAATAAAATTCAGACTAGATAACCATTCAGAAGACGCTGTCCCACAAACATTTATCCCGTAATGAGTGGTATATATCTCATTAATTATTGCCTTATCCAAAGGAATATTGCTGTAACATGTTTAGCTTGCTCCACAGTTTTGCTTCTCTACTTTGCCATTATTCTGAAAGCAGCCAAATGCTGTTTGTTTTCCAATGTTTTCTGAACTTATCTTTTATCTTGTCCTTTCAACCTGGTGCTCCTCCCACTTCCTTACATGTAAATATGCTTTTCACTCACTTCAAAGAGTATTTCTTTTTAACTTTGTTTCTTGTAAACTGGTTAATTTTAAATTCATTCATTCATTCATTCATTCATTCATTCTTACTATTTATGACATTCATATTCAAAATGTTTGAGCTTAATATAATCATGCAGCCGTCTCATTTTTATTGTGCTGTTTAATATGTGTGTATGTACATAAACACGAACATACAGATAACATAGCGTATATGTGCAGGTTTTATTATAGTGCATTTCTTCATACCAACAATTATTATCTTGTTTGATATTCCTCAATATAAAACAAAATGGGAAGAACAAACAGCTAAATTATTGAACTGTAAAACCATTGAATTTTTAACAATTTTCAAAATCAAGAAAGACGAGTGTATGCAGAAATATACAACTTCAATAGATAATTCCCAATCTCTTTTTCATTTTTGTTTCCATCCCTCTTTTAACAGTTCTCTCCAGACTGTTAGACAGAAAGAAAAGCATTTCCTCCTCACTTTTGAGCTAAAGTGTTGTCCACTCAACAATACCACAGTTGGCATTGTGTTGAGCTGGCATAACACAATACCAACTACCAACTTAACACTTGTCCCCTTTGACAGTTCTTAACCTGCCTCTTTTGAGTTTATTACAAATCATTATGGGATGTTTAATGAATATGCTAGTCATGACAGGCAGGTGATTGGTTTTATCACTGATTTTGCTGTTGTTCCCCTTCACTGTTCCCCTGTCACAATCAGTGGAGAAAATGTCCACCAATCAGCACACATCGATGAGGAGGATATGAGTTCAGGACCTTTCCTGTCATTTCTAGGTTGATTTTATTTGCTAAAACCTTAAGACCATTTGAGCATCTTCTAAGTTAAAATGATATAAAATAAGGGGGTGGGGGTGCTTTTTGGGCCTGAACCAAAATGCAATGTGCGCATGGCCCTCATGCACCTTCACACACACCCCCACATGCCCCCCCCCCACATATCCTGCCTGTCAGGGTGGAAATTCAGCCCTATACTTAATGAAGGATGAACCATGGTTTCACTTTGAAGTATACTTTATAATTAAGAAAAATAAATCCAAGATATATCCTAAGAAACACATTTTATTGTAAAGAAAATAAAAAACAAAACTTACTAGCTAATGATTACATTTTGGCAGAGTTCCTTGCCTACCTTCTTGGCAGGCGAACAAAAGGGGTAAAAGAGAGAAAAAATGAAGAAAAATGGACATGCGTAGTGAGTTTACAGATAAGAGTCAGTCTACCATATGTCTCAGAGTGTAAGCGCAGCTGGTAAAACAAAAACATAGTGGCACTGCCCCCATGCACGGGTGTGCCCCTGCATGGGCCTCACCCCCTGCGCATGTGTGGCAGGGGCACGAAAACCAGCTGGCCAGTGGGGGGCACGCATGCACGCACAGCAGAGCTGAATTAAGGCGATGGCTCACGTGCCATCAGAGACGGCGCAGTGTGCCACCTTTGGCACGCATGCCATAGGTTTGCCATCATGGCTTTAGGAGGAGCAGGAGTGAAATCGATAGAGAAGGATCCAAGCCAAGTGGCAAATAAGCCATCCACTCTTCTTGCCCATGTGAAATAGTGCAGTTCTGCCCTCCTTCCTCTGGTTGGAAGCTTGAAGAAAAGCTAGCATTAAAAAAAAAAAACACAATGTGAGAGGCATGAAAGGAATTCAGGCAACCTACTACTAACAGGGAGGGCAAAGGGTGGGGAACAAATGCCTGGGGTGGAGGCTGTGTGGTGACCAATGTAGAAGGGCAACCAGTGACTCCCAAGGCAGACTTCTGATTCCATCTGCTACTGGTCTCCTGAGTTCACCTGCAAAGTAAAAGCTGGTAAAATATAGAATATTTTATTTAATACACATCTTGTAGGGCAGTATCAGGAAAAAGGGGAGAAATACTGACTTGTTGGTATACTTAATTTAAGGGATCTCCCTCATGGGCTCTTTATGAGTAGAGGAAGGAACTGGCATTATAAAGACATGTGCAAATGGGAACAAGGACAAAATGAAATTCTCTAAAGTTGTTCACAAGATCCTTGGGAGACCAAACTTAGTAATAACATTTAAAACAATATTTTAGTTATTTTAGATGAGGGCTGGCTTAGCTATCTAGATAAAGGGGTGGGAGGCAGGCAGACTTCAGTGGCTCCATTCAATTTTTTCTTCTTTGCCCCAAGCACCAGGTTACTTCTCCCTTGCAATCGTAGATTGTTCTCTTCCCCCTCCCCAAAGGGGGTGGAAGAAAATTGAGTAAGGAGGGGAAAAGGAAAAGGGAAAACAAATCAATGAAGGCATCTTACTAAGATGTATTCAGTAAAGAACCTGCTGGCTCTGTCTTCTCTCACTTCTCTGCCTGCCTCTTGGTTCACTCGGTTTGTCTTTCCTCTTTTCTTTAATTTTTCTTTTATTCTAACCTTTACCCAGCCCACATTTCCATATCAAACCTGGGAGCATACCTACAGCAGTTATAAAAAGGCCATCAAAGAGCAGCAATCTTAAGGGCGATACTCCAGCCAACGGGGGACGGCGTTGTTGTTGTTTTTTCCCTTCCTTTTTCACGGACGGACGGACGGACGGACGGACACACACACACACACAGACACACACACAGACGCGCCACAGACACTCCTCCACCTCCTCTTCCCCAACCGGGAGATCTTTCTTCCTCCTTTCCTGAAGTTTACCCTCTCTGCCCTCCCCACCCGCCGCTTTTCTTCTCCTGCCAGCTTGCCCCGGCCATCCGTCACCATTTCCACCACGGGGAGGCAACGCGCCCAGCCCCTTCAGCGGCTGAGCATTGGCCGGAAAACTTTGGTCGCCGGGGCCATCGGCGTGGTGATGATCTTGATCCTGGTGATCCTCATTCCGGTGCTGGTGAGTTCCGTGGGCATCGATGGACACTACGAGATGCTGGGCACCTGCCGCATGGTCTGTGATCCCTACCTGGGCAAGACCAGCACCACGACCAGCGCCAGCGGCATCCGGAGCGACGGCGCCGAAAGCTTCAGTAGCACCAGTAGCGACCACAGCGGACTGCCCCCGCCATCCACCCTCGTCCAGGGGCCCCAGGGCAAGCCAGGGCGGCCGGGCAAGCCGGGCCCTCCGGGGTCCCCGGGAGAGCCGGGGCCCCCGGGCCCCCGGGGTCCCCCGGGGGAGAGGGGAGATCCTGGGAAAACCGGTCCTCCTGGCCTGCCCGGGCCGGGGCTGAGCACGGGGGCCATCAGTGCGGCCACCTATACCATGGTGCCCCGCGTGGCCTTTTACGCCGGCCTCAAGAACCCGCACGAGGGCTACGAGATACTCAAGTTCGACGATGTCGTAACCAACTTGGGAAACAACTACGATGCCGCTACGGGCAAGTTCACCTGCAACATCCCAGGCACCTATTTCTTCACCTACCACGTCCTGATGCGCGGCGGCGACGGGACCAGCATGTGGGCAGATCTATGCAAGAACGGGCAGGTAGGCGGGCGCCTCCGCTTGGCTCGTCTGGTCGGCCGATGGGGGAGCCTTGTCTTCCTAGGCGCAGTTGTCGGTCCCTTGGGATGGGGAAGGTGGGAGAGGGGACCGTCCGCCGAGCGGTGTTTTTAAAAGACCTGGCGAGCCTTCTTATTTACTGGAGGTAAGGAGGCCTTCCCCGAACTATTTAGGGATCCTGGGATGATGCCGCTTCCCCAAAGTACACAGTAACTTTAGTCCGCGCGCGTGCAGTTGGCGAAGGTGGCGTCTTGTCCCGCGAAAGCGGGACTGCGATACTCTCTCTGTCTGTACTAAAACCCTGCCGAACGGAGAGAGGCTACTTCTGCGCAAGTATATACTGTATAGAATTCTGCGGGAAATAATTTGTAAAAGACCTAGAAACGCACCTCGCTGGGTAATTGCAAATCTGTGGGGAGAACCCCTTCTTCTATAATAGCGTAGTTGTCAAAGAGGTTGTGACAGGGAGTATCAGTGGCAGATATACCATGCATTTCCCTCCCTCCCTCTGGAAATGATAGGAAGCTCGATTCAATAACCAAACTATAAAATACTTCGCTTATAGAAGGACAGAAGCTAAAGGATAGTAGAAATTTGTAACTTTCTTAATAGAAACTTAGGTGCAAGACTCCTCCACCTTTTCCTTTATATCTCAGCACCCATACAGAACACGAAGTCCGCATTTCTGTCTTAATGCATCAAAAGAACATTAAAATCCAATAAAGTAATGCCTCCTGTCATTTATATTCCTGCTCTTTATTCTGCCCGTTGGGATGAGGGGGGAAAAACATCTGTGGTAACTAACACCTTTCCTCACCCAATTCTAGTGCCTCCCCTCCCCAACTCTTACCCACATCTCTCTAGTAAGCAACCTAACATTATTTTTACTGCATCATTTGATTCATGCATACTTTGTAGCAAGCCTTACTGAATTCAATGGAGCTTACTCCCTAACACCCTTTGAGTGAGGGAACTATTAGGCTTCAGTGCTAGTTAAATACACTGAAATGGAAATCGCTATAATTTGCTCATTTAAATGTCTCTCTTTCTGATTCTCAAAATGTGTTGCATTTCAATTTTAATATGTGCACCCAGAGAGAGGGGGGGGAGGGAGGGAGGGAGAGGGGTTGCTTTTCTTTAAAATAAGTCCTGAATGGTTGGGAAATAGCCTTTCAAAAAAGGAAATTAACTGCCTCTTCAATCACCCTGCCCAGGACCTCAAAAAACTCTTTTTTCTCACCAAATCATCCCTTTGTGATAGTACAAGTTCATATTGCCAGTGCCAGAGGGAGACTAACAATGAGTTCTTGATGCTTTCTAATTGAATTTCATAATTAAGTCCAGCCTCTGCAGAACGACTTTTCGTGTTGTATCCAGCTAACATCTTTCTCTCTCTTTCTTTTTTAATGTTCCTCCTCTCCTTGGTAATCCTTCAGCACTGCTTAACATGTGTTTACACAGATACTACCACTTGCAGAAATCTCACCTGTGTAGTTTTCAATAATTAATCAAACAGAAATCTCCACAGCTATAATGCAATCCTCACAATCACAAACTTGAGTTTCAATTTCCAAATACTGTTAGATTTGTTTCAATCCAAAGGTGTAAAAATATTATGGTACAAAAGAGAGGAATAAATCCTGCATCTAACATGAAGTAAAGCAAGCAACACAATGTATTTGTTAGTCTTTAGGGTACCAGAAGACTTGTTGTCATGACTTCAATCTCCTGCTCACCCATAAATATTTGTTGAAAAGGTGATTAAATCCACTTGTAACTGCTCTGATACCACGTCCTACAAAGAAATCCAATCTTTAATCAATAGCTAAGTGGTTAGCATAAGCTTAAATATGGAACAACAACAACAACACACACACACATCGCTATCTTTAAAAACTTTGCTGCAAACTCATTAATTCTCACATGTCCATGGGAAGAAATCTAAGATGGGAGACTATAAATTTTATTTTTCGCAGATATGTTTATATTTTTAAAGATAATTTTCTGAAGGTAAGAACCCCAAGGAGTAATATTTAGTGCGGGGAGACTCTTCCCTTAAAAATCACTGCATATTTTCTCTGCCAGTAGGCAATGCTTGCTGCTCAAATCTTTCAAATTTTTATTTATTATTTTGTTCTTGTTTTAACTGCCTGCTAGTGATTATAATATTTATATAGTTTTTATGTTTTTAATTGTATACTATCCAGAGTCATGCTGTGAGTGAGATGGGCAGCTTCTAATTTTGATTAATAAAAGGAGAAATAAAATTTTGAAAAGCAGGTGAGGGGGCAATTCTTCAATTGTTTGGGTTTCCCCTAATGGCTTGACTTCCTCTTGTTTTCTTCTAACTGTGTGCACTTTTGCTTTTTCATTTATTTATTTATTCAAATTAGTTATAGCCATCCAACGCCAATGAACTCTGAACACTTTCAAGTAAGTTTGAGGGAGCTTCAAGTAGAGCTCCTTCATCTTTGTTTTGATGATTTATGAGTTCTCTGACCAGATTACTCTCTGCTTAAAAAGAACTCTGGTTAAAATGCTTTACAAAATCTTTTAATCTGAAGAAAATGACATAATGATTTCTCATTGTTTTATTTGACATGAGTTGGCATTCCTATCCATACAATATTAATTATGTCAGCCTGTTCCTTGTCGTTGCTGTAGCTCCTTGCTGTGGTACGGTTGTCTTAAACACAACAATGGCTCGAAATTCTTGACGAGGTGAAAGACAAGGATGCTTTCTCATATCATGTATAAAGCTTTACTGCTGTGACAGTTGAATTTAGTTGCATAACTGATAGGAAAATGTGCTCCCTATTAGTTTGGTTGGTACAGAATAAGTCATCTAACACATTGATTTAGTCCTCAAACCTTTCACCACCATCTACCAATATCCTTTTTTGAAGCAGCCAGCTCACTCTGTCTAATGTTGAAGCAGATCTAACATTCCAGGCTAGCATTAGACTCTTATAGAAGTAATAAATGGTTTCCCTGGGCATATTAGTGTGCGTAGCACTATATTGTCAGGCAAGTGTTTGCTCTCCTGGCAGGTTTCCTGATTTCTTAGATTGCCCAGCATTGCCACCAGTTCATTGAAGAATGTCTCTGCCCTGAATAATTGCATGAGAAGCAGAAATTTGACAGGTGCCACCTTATCTGATATGGAAGTATAGTAATGGAACAAAAAGGTATCTGCTGAATTTCTGCTTCTTATGCATGTCAGGACTCTGCTCCTCCAATAAACAGACATAGAAGTGAAAGGATTTGGGTGACTACTTTTACTTCTGTGTACACAATATAAATTGTAATTGTCTTCATGATTTATCTTATGCCATGTAAATCCCATTTTTGGCCAATTTTACAATAGCCTACTGTACAAATTCTACAAAGATTGGAAGTGTCCATCAACTTTCAATTCAGATTCAATTCAAATCTCAATTCAGAAAACAATTTACCATGAACTGATTAGAGGACTATCAAAGTTAATTTAGGACCTGAATCCAAATTTCAGTGAAGAAATCAAAATATCAGTGTTTGATAGATTTGAAATCAACAAATGAGTGACTTCTTTAAATTTGATGAAGTTTGAGGAAATGCTAGCTCTTTATGACAGTATGAAGCCTGTCAATTTTCAGAGTAATAGATGGAAGGTATTTTTGTGTTTGGTACATTTATAGATTGATTTTTTAAAAAAACCAAAAAAGTAGCTGCTGATGCTTTCTATGTAGAATTGAATCAAATTTTCAATAAGTGGCCTATTCTGATGGAATAAGGTTTATTGAATTTGAAATGACTAGTTTAAAACGTTTATTTCTTTTGCAGAAGGGAAGTTTTGAAGTCTTATTATTTAGGAGAAAAGATTCCTGTAGTTTTTAAAAGAGATGGCCTCAGCACTAACATATTAGCAAAATAATGCAAGTATTTTATGTGCAAGTAAAATCTTCTATTTTGTGTTCTTGATGAGACAGGAAAGCTTCAGGAACCTCTCAGTTGAGATTAAAAAATCACAGTAGGAAGAGATGGATGTTGTTTATGGAAGATATCCACAGCTGAACGAAAAAGGCTTCAGCAGCCAACATTTTCAAAATCTCTCTGCTTCATCCTTCTACATCCTGCAATTATGGCCAATTATTTTCTTATCTGTTGCTGGGGGGAAAAAGAACACTATCAGAGAGCATGGAACTCTTTATATGGAAGTTTATCTGCCAATTAGTGTTATTCTCTTTGAAGTACCTCTGACACGTTTCCAAGGGAATCCTGAGGATTCTGCAGAAAAATAATTAATAACCAGTAAAATAGATAAACAACTTTATCAAATTTCTCTTTGTTTGTGGGTTGGCTTGTCCCAGTCTGGCTTATTTGCAGAAGTGTAATAATTATATACTTCAGTTGTGGAAAACCAATGCCCTGGTCTATATTATTGTCCAGATTTCAGCTCCCAATCATCCCAGCTTTTATGACAAATTGAATTCTGGGAGTTGAAGTTCACAGTTTAAGATTGCCACAGTTAAGAAATAATGATCTAGGGACTGAAGTAGATGTTCTGGAAGGAAGTTCCAAATATAATAAATAAAGTAGCTATAGGGAGACTTTGGTTTTGAGTTCATGTATGTATGTATGTATGTATGTATGTATGTATGTATGTATGTGTATGCATATGTATACATACATACACACACACACACACACACATATCACATGCACCTGCCTGCCCCCCATCCAAATCATATTTTTATTCATTGCTTTTAGCAGGTTTAGAACACCCTGAATTTCTAGAGCTAGATAAGTGAAGGCCAGTGAAGGTCAGCAAAATTATGAGAACTAAGAATAGAAAAATAATAAAGGAAATTTTCTGGAAGTAGGTTCTTTGGTCACTACGTTTAGCTTTTTAATCATATTTTTCTTCTATTGCAGTAATATTCTGAATATCTGTGTTACATTTCAATAAACATTGTTCTAAGACTAGTTTCCATATTTGCTACATC